AGTGTTAGTTCCGTGCTGTGAGCGAGCGTTAGTGATGTCAGCAAGGCAAGGGGGTGGGCACCCCAGTGTCCACTTCTCAGACCACAGCCCAGAAGTGTGGGTGTTCCCGCCAAGAGTCCACTAGAGAGAAGGGAAGCCTCACTGTCCAGTTCAGGCAGGAAACGACTTATTAGACTGAGGCTGCAATGGAATCATTTGTGGAGCTGAATAAACAGGCTCTAGGTAGAGCTTTTGAGACTGACTTCCTAACTGCACTGCAAAACTGGGCACCTGCCTCTTCTTATCAGGAAAACAGGAATCCCAGACCACCTGGGACCAAGGAGCTGCTGCCACTACAGCTGCCAGCCCCCAAGGCATGCCTATTTTGCTGTGCTCCTCTCTAAAAAAGGGATGCTCAGACTGCACCTCAGAAGATAAATTCTCCCACCCAGCACATACATGGGAGGGACGGTGCTCCCAGGGAAGGATGCAATCAAACACTGCTGGGGGGAGGGGGGCACCAAAGCTCCTGGGAGAACCCTCACATGGTACAGTGGAGTCGTGCCACGTGCCCTAACCAGTGATTTTTCAAGAGAGAATTCTTCAAGGAGATTTAACAAATTTCACACTATGTTGCCTTGGGTAGAGTGCAGTGGCGTCACAGCTCAGTGTGCAGTGCGTGTATGTGTGTATGTGTCTGTGTATATGGGTGTATTGTATGTCTATGTGTGTTAGTTCACTCACATCATGGAACTAACATTATTAGAATCCATGTCATTTTTCTTTTTTTAAACTGATATATTAGTGGTACATATTTAGGGGGTCCATGTACTATTCTGGCGCTTGTACACATGTGACGGCCAGATCAGAGTGAGTGGGTTAACCATCACCTCAAACATTTATCTTTCCTTTGTGTTGGGAATATTACAAATCTTCTCCTTAGGTGTCTTAATATAAAATAAGTTATTTTTCCCTGGAATTTCCCTAATGTACTATCGAACGCTAGAACTTACTCCTTCTGACTAGTCCATACCCCATAAACAACTCCTCACCCCCCTCCTCCCTGCTCTTCCTGACGCTCGGTGACCACTATTCTCCTTTCTGCCTGACATAATGACCTGCAGTTCCTTCCATGTTGCTGCAAATGCTAGGATTTCGTGGCTGAGTAACAGTCCACTGTGTGTGTATATAACATGTTTCTTCATCTGGTCACCCATTCACTGAAGACATTTGGGTTGAGTCCCCATCTGGGCTGTTGTGAGTAGTGTGGCAGTAACGTGGGAGGAGACAGCTTTTGGATATAGCAGTGGGACTGCTGGGTCATATGGTGGTTCTGTTTCTATCAATCTTTTTTTGAGGAACCTCTATGCTGCTTTCCAAAGTGGCTGCACTATTCTACACCCCCAGCAGTAGTTGGGACTTTGTAAAGGGGAATCTTGCCTGTACGTGATGTGTACCTAGGATGTGCGGTTCCAGCCTGTTGTAGGTATGGAGCCCCCGCCCCCGATGCTGTCATTGCTGTGGTCAAGGCAGATGATGGCTCTTGGACTTAACGTCCCAAAGGTGCAGTGATATCCATCATCAGAATAAACTGTATTTTATTTATTTATTTATTTATTTTGGCCAGGGCTGGGTTTGAACCCATCACCTTCAGCATATGGGGCCAGCGCCCTACCCTTTTGAGCCACAGGCACTGCCCCATAAACTGTATTTTAATATGAGATTTCAGAAGCATCTTAAACCCTGGGTTTTGAGACTGAAAAGGAGGCCTTTTCAGTTACCCTCCCTTCCAGCTGTGATGTCACACTGGGGGCTGTGCTGGATCACTGAAATCCTGGTGGGGCAGGGTGTCGTGAGGAGGCATGAAGCACAGCCCGAAATAGAGCCAGACGTCAGCAGTCCAAGAGCAGCTCTGTTCCTGTGACGACACGTTTCTGTCATTCAGCAAAGCAAAGACCCCTATGATTTCCACAGAAATGTCATAATTTTGTCAGATCATTTTAAAGAGCCCACTTGTGAAATTTGTGGCTTCTGAAAGTAATGGGTCACTTTCTCTTTCACCTACACCTACGATAGAGTAATTCACAATGAAGGCACCAAAACAATCTTGACAGGCCGTGTCAGCGCGGTGTTGGGTTTGTGCAAGACTCTGCTGCTGCTGACGCAGAGGGGTGTGCTTTGCAGATAGGAAACTGCTCTTTGATTTGGAGATGGGGTTATCAACCTCTTTTTTTGTTATGTTTTGTTTTTTTTTACACTGTGAAGTCCTCCCTCCTTCGTCCCCCTCCCCTCCACCTTGGATTAGCTCATCTACTGCCTTCATATTAGAATTGAGTACATTGGATTCTTGCTTCTCCATTCTTGTGATGCTTTTACTAAGAAGAATGTGTTCCACCTCCATCCAGGTTAATACAAAAGTTGGAAAGCCTCCATATTTTTAATGGCTGAATAATATTCATGGTACACATATACCACAGCTTGTTAATCCATTCCTGGGTTAGTGGGCATTTAGGTTATTTCCACACCACATTTTGGCGATTACAAATTGTGCTATGATAAACAGTCTAGTGCAAGTGTCCTTATGATAAAAGGATTTTTTTCTTCTGGGACTAACGGGGTTACAGGATCACATGGGAGGTCTAATTTGAGTTCTTTGTGGATTCTCTATACTTCCTTCCAGAAAGGTTGTATTAGTTTGCAGTCCCACCAGCAGTGTCAAAGTGTTCCCTTCTCTCCACACCCACGCCAGCATCTGCAGCTTTGAGGGTTTGTGATGTGGGCCGTTATCAACCTCTTGATTAATGTCATTGATTCAATAATTGATTTCATGGATTCTCTCACACAAATATGGACTGCTTGGTCATCTGCTCAAACTGTGGTTTGCTAAATTCAAATGGAGATGAACCCCCCCCCCCAAGTCATTAGGATATGTACACTGGAGCCTTCTTAATATCTGTTTTCCATCTCTATGCTCCATTGAGGACTTCATAGGACTTCACAGGGTGGCATTAGGTGGGCTGCCAGGTGGCACAGGTAGGCTCATCTCTGCCGGCGTTTTGACAGAAGGTAGCAGCAATGGCAACTGAATGTATAAATTTGTTTAATATACCTCCTAAGGGCTTGTCACAGATTTTTTTCAGATCTAAGCAAGTACCCATTTTGTTATGCCAGTAAAGCCCAGGGTCAGTATAATCATGTCCTGTTATGAAAGACCATCCCCAGGTGACAATCCCGCAGTCACAGTCTATTGCAGCAAGATTAACACCAAACTACTAGCCATCGAATTCCCCGTGTGAACATACCACCTTCCCTTACATGCTGCCTTAAAAAAAAACATGCAATAGAAGAATCTTTCAGAACTCCCAGTCATTTTTTCAGAACAAAGTTGCATGAAACAAAGCACATTTTTTACATACGTGAAAAGAAGCATTGAAATGATTTTCCACACCCAATAATGAATAAAGATACCCAGGGCTGTATTTAGTTCCGTGAATCCTCAGTGCGTGGTATTTAACACAAGTCCAAGTGAGCCTGGGTGGTCTCGCAACAGATAATCACACACAAGTACATTTTGTCACGTAGGTTATTAATAAGTTGGTTTTATTAGCCTTATCACTGACGTGATTTTGGAAAGAAAAAATTCATGCTACATCAATAACCTGAGTATGGTTTCCTAAATAGATTACTCCTTCCTTGGGACTCCAGTTCAGCCAATTTCTCTTCCCTTCCCACAAACTAAGAAACACTGACCACCATGTCCCCTGCCAACCTGCAGGTGACATCAGAAATACTGCATTAAATGTCACTGTGCCTTATTTTCTCCTATGAACGTGGGTCACTGCCCAGGTAAAGACTCTGAGAAGCCAACCACCGGGGTACTAGCATGAGGAAGGCGTTCCGAGTTCTGTCAGAAAGGTTTTCCACAGTCAGGATCACTGACTCTGCTATTTGAATTTATTGTTAAG